TATCCGCTTCCATGTCGTCGTCCTCACCCAACGTGAAGGACGACTGAATGGCCAGACATCGGGTGCACGCGATCTTGTCTTCAGGGGTCAGACAATACAACAATGAAGACAAACACCTAATTATAAGGCAACAAAAATCACTCACTATTTCTCTGGAGAAACCTGAGGGCGTCGTCGAAGCCTTGCTGACACATTTTGCTCAACACCTCCGGGTGGGCGGGGAATAGGATTCGTGTCAATCGATAGAGATTGCCGACGGACAGCATAATGGATGTGTTCACTAAATTCACTTGAAATAGATTATAGGTGTCGTCTTGTGGGCAGATGTCCGACTCGCCACTGAATGGCGACACAGTTATGGTGTTCTTGTCGATGATGGGCAGGTTGTCGCTGAAGCCCCCGTCCATGTATGCAATGCCGTGGAATTTCGGGGGAACTATACCCGACCAGAACGGTATGAAACACGAGCACTGGATTGCCTGTTGGGGTTAAACCATACAAATGGGAAAATATTAATCAATTATTTACATTAAAACAAATGTGTAATTGTTTATGACTTATAGGGCTTTCCGTTGACTGATTGGCAATACAGTAATTAACAGTTAAAATAAATAAAAAACATTGAAATTTATTTGATGTTTAAATTTTGACTTAAATTTAATGATTAATCGATTGTTAAACAAATAGTTTAATAAACTTTTCCTATAAATAAATAAATATTTTTCTCTCATTTGACGGAAAATTCTTTATAACTATTCCTATGAATGGGTTTTTGAAGGTAAAGGTTATGGTTATGGGTATTATTGGTCTCATATTTTCTATTATCTCAAACAATCTAATGATAGTTACAATTAGTTTTAATTATAGTCTCACTCTTTTTTATGCAAAAACTAATATCTGATTTGAGAAAATTAAAAATAGCTCTCAATTAATGCTTAAAAACTGGTTTTTTTTGTCGCAATAACGATAGCCGTGAAAGTAAATGAACAGAAATATGTGAAAATCATTGATAGCCATCAGTTAAATCATTAGTAAGAGTTTTACTATCGGATAATTTAGAGGACAGGTATCTCTATGAGGCGTACATGTATTGCGCCAGTGTTTTGACTGACTGTCCCAAAAGGTGCCTAACTTTCTCATTCGCACGTACATTAAAAATCTCTAAATTAAGCAAAAATTAAACGCTAGAAAATCATATAATTATCGCTAGATTTTGTGTGCAAACATGGATTAAAATGGTTCGCATACTATAACGCCTGTAATATCGCAATAGATATTAAAATATCAATACAAATGAGAATCTATTGAACAGCAAATTATAGTCTATTATCAAATCGTGCAACAAATAATCGATAATAGTTGACTTCATTATTAATAGCAATCATCACTAAACTCAGCAAACATTACACTAGACTTAACGGCAATTAAATAATACATATCTTAGAGACACTGAACGACAGCCAACTGAAGCCACAAAACAAGACAAATATTGGACACAAAAAGACAAAAACAAGGATTCAATTACTCGAATGAGATCCTCTTTGGAGTCAAACTGACTGATGAGTACATTCTGTCCGTCGCTGACTCGGGTGACAGAGATGTAGAGCCGACCCGTGGCTCTCTTCGCGCAGTCCTCGGGCAACGTCTTCATGAGTCCGTCGTATATAATCTTATTGACGTCGAAGGAGGGGTGGAAGGGTCCCAACGCACGGGCCCGAGCCTTGATGGCCACCTGTAGGATCTCAGACGTGCTCTCGCCTGACAGGAACGGTAGGTCGACGGGGGTAGGGGTAGGGGTGACACAAAAAAAACCATTAATATAGGGGTATATAAGAGGCGAGGGTTTACGGCAACCAAACCGATACATACCTAATGGGAGTCTAAGACAGGTAGCCATGGCTGCTAAGGCACCGGCACTCGCACCGCATATAATGGTGTTGTTGGGCACCGGGGCGTACTCTCGCAAACAGGAGGCGACGCCCACGTGGTATAGGCCGAGGAATCCGCACCCGGCGAAGGACAGGGACATCGCACCGCCTGACGAGGGGTTAGGCGGTGGGGGATGACCCAAACCACTCATGGTCTTCGTCACCATTATATTACATACAATATGTGTGTATTATATGTGTTATTATTGTTATTATATGAACGATGTATTCGTTGATTATATTATTGAAGACTTTTTTGATGAGCACTTTAACCACTCATGGTCTTCGTCACCATTATATTACATACAATATGTGTGTATTATATGTGTTATTATTGTTATTATATGAACGATGTATTCGTTGATTATATTATTGAAGACTTTTTTGATGAGCACTTGATTTGTATATTTAGTGAAGTTTTTGTTTCTCAACAGTTGTGTTGTTTTCTGCGGCAAACACTCAATGAATGCAATCATACGTTGAATGCAGTGTTGTTGATGTGTTCACTGCTGGCAAACCAATGGTAGCCCACAATCGCGTTCAGAAATCATATGCTGTAATACGCTGTGTGTGTGAGAGTATGCGTCACGCGTGACGTCATATGAGACCACTATAGCTATAGCTTCATGAGAGTAGAGGCTATTTTTAAGGCGAAAAAAGTTGTGAAAAGTTTTTGATTTCTTAACGCTTTGATTATTATTATGATGAATACATTTGTATTAATCACACTTTCATTCATTTGGTAATATCCTCGTGAGTGTGAGATGCAAATGTAGTGCCAATAATCCGGATGCTTTTATATGCACACAATCGACTAATTTGTTTTATAAATTGTACAGTACAGAGTGTATAAAATGTATGATTTGTACAAAAAGTTTAGAAAAGTTCAATAACAAACTCATTAATTGGAAATACAATATCACACCATAATTAACATGCATATTTTCACTAGAATTAGCACTCGTATGATGTTTCCTTATATACCTTATTAAGCCTTTAAAAACTAGACTTGGTAGTAGACAATTATCACGTGTTTCATTATTAAATCATGCTATTTATTAGTTATTTATTTATTTTAATTACAAAATTGTAAAAACAAAAATTGCAAACATTTGGAAAATTAAAAATAGTTGGCAAATTAAGGCTTTTGGACTTTTGTGTACTTTTTAGCACTTTTTTGCGATAAATTTAAATTAGATTTGTTAAGTTACTACATTTATATGGTAGACTTTGACTGCATGGTTAACTAAATAATATATTAGATCCTATTGGGGGAGTGTGACCTGGACAATTTTATTGACCCACTAGTTGTACCAAATTATTGTTAAATATTGCAATAGTTTTTGACCGTTTTATAGGTCCAGGTTAGTTTTGCATCGATTTTTATGGTATTAGCAACAGGGTCATGCATTGTGAATGTCCACAATTGAAAGGCATAGGAGCCCCGGGACCCGTCAGCCTAATAGTCATCAAAGTTTGTGCTCACCATTAATGGTAATGAATTGAACAAAAAAGGTATTGTTTTTCAGAAATTGAAGTTAAACTATTTTAGAAGTTGAATGCATATGTCCTTTGTACCTTGCACCTTTTTCTTATATAACACACTACACTGTAAGCGCTATATGTTTGCTATCGTATCATATCTATTATATGCACTTATAGTGAGAGCACTTCATATATGATTGCTATGAATGGTATGAATGGTGTCCACCATATATACTGACCGTCGGTGTCATAGACCACACCCACTGTTGCCTCTCAAGTGTCGGCTCATAACAAAGCGATTAAATTTTAGAAATTGATTAAATTGACGTCCCTTTAATGAGTAACCCTGATGACTTATGCAGTGGTGAGCTCCTGGTGATCCCTGGGATGCTTGCCTTAGCAACGGTTATATAGTGCTGTCAATAATGATAACTCGTTTCGTACGGACATGTGATCCGCTCTTAAGGTCTCTATTAAATGCCTTTTTGTAATTCCTATTGAAATACTCATACAATTTGAAGGAAATAACTATAACTAATGAACAGTAAGTGAAACAATAATTGAAGGACACCAGACTGAGAGAGAGAGAGAGAGAGAGAGAGAGAGAGATTTAAATATAATAATTTAATTTGTACTCTATACTCTATGATATTACTTATATTATATTATGATGATGAAGTAATAGGTTTTGTACTTTTAAAAATATTGATATTTATACAGGTACACTTGTATGAATCATAAAATATCAAACAATGAGACAATTATAGAACGTATCATGGTTGATATCACTATTATATCAATATTAGCACTACTGTATATAAAGTGACCACAAATTCTTTGATATTAGAGATAATGAGATACGGAAACTACAAATACTGTAAACTACTGTATAATTAGTACCCGAAATATGAACCAAATTAAGGCCAAACAGCGACCGAAGTTTAGTTACCGGCGCCACAGACAGACATATTCAACAACAGATGACAGGGAAGCGATGATAAGACTTCAGACACTAACAGTCGACTTATTATTACATAAAATATTTATTAATAAAAATAAAATAATTTGATAAATATATATAAGTTAAGTATTGCGGTACTTTGTTTAAAATGTAAAATACAGTGCAACAAATAATTTATAATACTGTACTTGTTTGTGTGTCTAAAATACTGGTTAAAGTAATCAGCATGAATGAACCTGGGTGCATTAGGATGGCTAACCATATGGAAAACGTTTTGTTATTAAAAACTCTTGAGATTAGAGTTAATTTGGATTTTATAGTTGAGATAAAAGTGTTTTCAAACACTTATTCCTTCGCATAATAAGACAATTGTGTAAATATTTTGAGTGCCGTATCTGTATATATCTGTATGAAATAAACTGATAATCTCGAGTTAACTTAAGTAACAGGGTCATAGTCAGCACAATACAGTGAATCCATTATAGCTGTTCCACACATTTGTCTTATCTTTACAGTTATATACCATTTACATAAATGGATCCCTTTTTTGCAAATAAGCAAACCATACAATCGGTGCATAATTATGAATGCCATTCAAATGTAATTTAGTACTGCATTAGCTAACTATACCACTAACCCATACATACAATGCCTATTGAATGATACAATTTTAATACATTTCTTTATATAAGTTTTGCACAAATATTGAGACAAAACACATTCATACATAGATTTTGAGCGAAATATCTTAAAATATAATATATTTATGATACTGTATTTGTATTCAATTAATAGCACATTAATCCTATGCTACAGTACTGTATTTCTTATGCTATTAATATTCATTGAAACCATAATTGAGTAAGCATAAAAGAAGCAAGCTAATCACACCATAATGTCTACGGCCATATCACGCTGAAAGCACCGGTTCTCGTTCGATCCCCGAAGTTAAGCAGCGTCGAGCCCGGTTAGTACTT